GGGGCCCCTTAGAGGGCTGCATAGTGGGTTGTAGCCATGGCCTGGGCAGCTCCTCTGAGCCTGAGTGCAGCCCCTTCCCTGTCTGTACCACCTTTCCCTGCAAACCCACCAACTCCATCCCAGGCCCACCTGCCCAGGAAGAAAGACAGACACCTGTGGTGCAGGGCCCAGACTTGAGGAATCTGCTACCACTTCTTGGAACTCAGACACAGTCCTAAGCCTGCTCCACCTGCTCCACCCCAGGACCTTTGCTGGAGTTGCCCTCAGTCCTGGACGCTCTCTCCTCCCTGCGCCCCCCCACAGCCCCTCCTCCACAGCCCATGAGCCCTCCCCTGGTCCCTGCAACCCACACCTGTGCTGGTTGTACCATGGCCACTCTCCTGCTGCCCACATCTGTGCTCCAAAATCCCCCAGGCACCTGGCATGCCTGTCTTTTGGGGGACACTGGTTTGAGCCTGCCCCTACCAGAGGGCACAGAGCCTCTGGGACCCTGGCGGAGGGACAAACAGGGCTGAGCAGAGCTCCACGTGGGCGGTGGGCGCTGCCCTCAGAGCACCTGCGGGTGTCTGTGCAGAAGGGCCTGGGAGGAGGTAAAGTGAACGGAGAAACTTTTGGTCTTATTTTCTACATGCGTTTCTGCATTTTCTGTTGATTTTTCCATGGTGATCACGTATCACTTGTGTCTATAAAGGAAACAATACAACTCTAATAGAGGGGACGCTGCAGGGCCTATGGCGACGCAGCCATGAGGCCAAGGTAGGGCCCCAAGTGAAACAAATGAGCAAAAAGAGTTCTACAGCTACCAGGTGAGCAGTCACATGTGTTTCTTAGCAGTTGTGTCTCCTACTGATTGCATCCTATAGTCCCCAAAGGTGGGGAGTGGGGCGGGAGAGAGGTAGGCCAACTCAGGCCACAGGTGGGCTGGCACCCGCCCTGCCCCAGCCCCTCCCTCCCGGGAGCCGCAGACAGGCCCCCAGGGCCGTGCATCAGGCCACACCTGCAGAGACCTGCTTCCCCTGGCAGCAGGCGCCTCCCCTGACGGAAGATTTAGGAATGGGTTGGGTTGGGTGGAAGTGGCGCCCCAGGGCAGGTGACATGGAAGAGGTGAAAGAGACCTGCACTGCAGGGCTAATGGACAGGGCGCCAGACAGGCCAGGAGCCTAGAGAGGAGATGCCACCAGGACCCAGGAAACATGAACACCCCCAACACACACACACACACACATACTGACACACATGCACACACTGTACATACAGAAACACACATGCACAGACACAGCACACAGAGACACGCAGACACATGCACACAAGATACAGTCACAGACACACACACAGCACTCAGACACGCCCACTGCACTGCAGAGACACCACCAGATCCTGACATACACCACACACACTCACTCCTCCGTCCACCTAAGAAACAAAAGTTTTGCAGAAGAGTGTGCGATGACCACTTCTACTCTATGCTGTTCTCCTTAATCTTTTTATTTTTTAAAAAATGTGGGTCATAATCCTTTAAATTGATTTCCTTCCTCACAGTGGACCACAAGTACTCAGAGAAGGATTCCAGGTTTGAAGGCAGATGCTGGTGGGGACCTGGCCAGGTGGATGGGTGGGAAGGGGTGAGACTGGGCAGGACTGGGCCTGGGAAGGCTGAGGCAGGCAGGGATGATGCCAGCAGAGGAGAATCCCAAGCAGGCCGTGCAGCTGCGGCTGGAAAGCCACAGGAGTGGAGAGGAGGTGGGAGGCAGTGGTCAGGTTGGGAGGACCCTGGCAAGCAAGCCCAGAGAGGAGGGCCCAGAGGGCCGGGCACTAGAAGTGTGAAGTCACTGCTTCCTCCTGGGGCTGCTTCAGAGGATGGGTGGGGCCACGTGTGGGTAGACCAGGGAGACAGGAGACTATGCTGCTTGGTCCAGGCACAGGAGATGAGCCCTGGCCGGGAAGGGACAGTGTGGATGGGCCAAGGTGGAATCAGGGTTTTAGAGAAAGCTGTCAAGTCAGTGAAGTGCCATGAGTTTTGTGCACACCAGGGGGGAGCAGGTACGTGGTAGGGGGTTGCTGGTGTGAGTGAGGGCTCTCTGGTTGCAGGGAGCGGTCCGGTGGGGTGGGGGCACAGCTGCCGGGAGGAAGGCGCTCAGGGCCCGCAGGTGGGGCTCAGGATGCTGGCCCTGCAGAAATGGAAACAGGGTCTTCACCTGAGAGGGAGGAGGAGCCTGGGAACTAGGGAGGAAGGGGCTCTGCTGGGCCGGGTCCTCGGGACAGGGGGACCTGGGGACAGAGCTGGCCCTCGCACGCCCCTCCTGTCTCGCGTCCCTCCGTGCAGCCGGGACAGGATCCTGCAGGGGCTTTGCGGGGCAGGAGGTGCAGGCTTCGGCCTCCTCCTCCATCCTGTCCTCCCGCCCCCGCGATTAATGTCTTTATTCAAATCTCCCTCCTTCCCTTTGCCCCACCGGTCTCAGGGGCTGGGGTCGTAGCCCGGCGGGCGGCGGTGGTCAC